TGGTGGGTCCACAGGTGTTTATATTATTAATTTTTTATCTAGCCAAACTGCTTAGTTTATGTTATTATATTTGAAGTATTTTTTATAAATACTTTAGTTAAAAAGTAACAGAAGGGACTCCGGGAGTGAACACTGGCCATCCGCAGTCCATAGAAGGAGCTGCTAATCCAGGCAGACACCTGTAAATCTTGCTAGGGCCTCCTGAAGGCACTTTAAGCCCAGACAGTTCTGGTGCCACACCCCATTCAAACGTCCCACTGGCGCTGGAGGAAAGGAAAGGAGCGCCAGGAATGTAATGTCATAATCCAACAGGTTCCCTTCATGTCTACAGCAGGGGAGGGTTGATGTTGAGGAACTCCAGGCGTCCTGCATAGCTCTTCATTCTAGGTCCTCCTTTCAAACCCCAACCACGCGGCACCGCAGCACGTGTTGAGCTCCAAAGATGAGCACAAATAGCATCGTGATTTTGCGCCTCGCTTAACACAGGGCTCCTAGGCACCTGGAGTTCAAGGAACCTTTGTAGAAAGAACGAATGACCTGGAATCCCAACTCTTGCCAACACAAAGGGGCGTGCAAACTACGGCCAAAAACTAGAGCAGCCGCAAAGTGCAGATCAGCATGTGGCCTAGGCCGACATCTGGCAAGAAACCACCCCCCACCTCACGCACGCCAGGTTTTGCGCAGACTTCACCAGCCACGCACGCTCGATGTTCCCTGCGCCTTCCGGAGGCTCGCCGCGCGCATGCGCCCTCCGGCCCGCGCTTTGTTGCGAAAGCGAGGGGGTGGGGTTCTGCGGCCCTGGCGCGCCGCGCGGCTAGACGCGGAGGGCGGGGCGGAGGATGGAGGCGGCAGCGTCTGCTGCAGCGGTTGGGGCTGCGCGTGAGAAGGTGGAGGTGTAGGCACCTGGGCTGGGGGAGGCCGGCGGCGGCGGCCGGGCCATGGCGGGAGACCTTTTACGCTCGGCTCCTTGAGGTGCGCTCCCTGAAGTCCCGGGGAGCCGTGGCCCATGGGCTCGCTAAGCAGCCGAGTACTGCGCCACCCGGGGCGAGCCCAAGCCCCGCAGGAGCAGGGTTCCGGGGCGGGAGGTTCGGCCCAGAGGCCAGAGTCTGGAGGCGACGCGGCGGGCCCTGGCTTCTGTTACTGCCCTGGCAGCCACAAGCGCAAGCGGAGCAGCGGGGCCTTCTACTACTGTCACCCTGAATCTGAGACAGACGAGGAGGAGGAGGAAGGGGACGAGCAGCAGCGGCTCCTCAATACCCCTCGAAGGTACGTGGGGGGACGAGCCCGAGCTGCCCCGCACCCTCACCTGTTGGACCTGGGGATAAGTCGGCGCCCAGTGCGCTTGCGGAGTGCGGTGCTCCCCAGCCTGTGAAGCCGTGACATGCACTTGGCAGGGTAAAGGTGGGAGCCCACCCGATGCGGGGCGGATTGGCAAGCGCCTTCGGAGACGCCCGGTGTTCTGCCTTATAAACTGCAGACGCTGCCGGGGTGGTGTTAGAGCCCCAAGATGAAACAGAAACGCCAGGCTCTAGCTTGTGTCTCATTAAACCTTAGAGACGACCTGCTGGCTGGCCTTCCCTGTTACACCTTTGCCCATTTTGAGTGGGTAGCCGCAGAATAAGTTGTTTTGCATCCGGTTGCCTTAAATTGTACAGAGAGTAAATTTAGTCTTTGAGATGGCTACCCTTATTGTCGTCCACTCACTGGAGGGGAAGTAATTGCACACACGCGTTCTTAATTGTAAAGGTGAAGTTTATCAATAGAGCACTTTTGTTCCTAACCAGGAAGAAAGTCTTTCAAAGTCCATAGTAGTTGAAGCAGTTGACTGTGGGTATACTGTATGTAAGGCTGAGCTGCAGCTTGCTTAACCTTCTTTTGGAAGAGTTGAAAAATGGAATATTTGCTTGTGTTCAAGAATGTAGCTTATGAATAGAATATATTTTCACATACACAATTAGGTTGTTCTGTTTTTGTTTTTAAAGGTCATTGGTTGGGTCACAGATACAATTTTTTTAATGAAATTTTAGAAAAATGATTCAAAAATTTTTGCTACACAAGTGTTACATATTTATTGTTTTAAAAAGTATCATAGATAAAAACTGTATTTAATAGTTTGGTTTATAAAAACTTTCATACAGTTTTATGTATGAATGTTTGTATTTATTTACCAAAATGGACTCCCCTGTGAATACTGTTCAGTAACCTTTTTGAAGGGTCAGAGTAGGATAGTTTTACGAGCTCAAATTTTGAGTTCTTGTCTGTATTCTGAATTGAATAGCCTTATAACCCCATATGTAAATTGAAGATATTAAATACCTCCCTTAAAGGGTTTTACAGATATGAGAATGAACACAATGCACAGTGCCTAGCATGTAAGCACTCAGTAAATATTATATCTCCTTGGTGAATGGGCCCCTTTATCATTACAAAATGTCCATTCTTCTTTATCCCTGGTAATGTAGACACTACCACTCCTTTTGATAAATGTTCGAGTGGTATGTCATTTTCCATCCTTTCACTTTTTACCTGTCTTTATATTTAAAGTAGATATCATGTAAACAGCACATATTTGGGTCTTTTTCTATCCAATAGGACAATCTTGGTCCTTTAATTAGTATTTAGACCACTTATATTTAATGTAATTATTGAAATATATGTCAGGGCCCATTTGAAGGAGAGAAACCACACAGTAAACAGGAAAAATTTAATATAAACATTGTTAACTAGGAACGGAATTAACTACTAAGGGCAAAACACTAAGGTAAAGAGCTCTCTAAAATATACAGGATTAGGAAATATAGGGAGTAGTCATGAATTCTAAGTCTGAGGCAGAATACCCAAGGAAGGAACAAATTTGGAATAGATGCCCACCCCACTTCCAAGATTCAGATGTTGGCAAAGATGTGGGTGTAGCCCACAATGTGGTGAAAAAGTTTGCTGAAGTGTGATAGGCTGAGACTGGCAAGCAGGAAACTGCCCTCTAGAATGCCAGTAAAATTGTGTGGAGGCCATTTGGCCCACAAAGCTGAAGATAATTACTTATCTAGGCCTTTACAGAAAAAGTTTACCAACTCCTAGACTACTCCTAGATGTGACTGGAATGGAAAATTGTTTTTTTAATTTCTCTTTTTTTCTTTTTGGTAGAAACAGGGTTTCACTCTTGCTCAGGCTGGTCTCAAACTCCTGAGCTCAAGCAATCCTCCCATCTTGGCCTCCCAGAGTGCTAGGATTACAGGTGTGAGCCACTGCGCCTGGCTGGAATGGAAAATTTTTAAAGCAGACTTTTATCAGAAAATGCATATCAGAATTTAGTATGTGTTTATTAGTGGAAAATGCCTGGGTTATTCAGCCTAGTGTGGATAATGGGTGTAAGAAAATATTAAGACCTGGAATTCTGTGTGTTGGCCCTGATACACTTCCTAAGGTGGTCTAGTATGCTCTCCCACCTCAACAACCTACCCCATGAAAAGCTTTAGCTTCCGGGCCCATCTTCTACCTCATACCTTTTGTTAACTGCTTGTTTTACATTGAAAAGACTGTTAAAACTCATATTGTTCTACAACCAGATCTTGAGTGTTTTGTCCACAGTTTGTCTCTCAAAATCAAAATCTAGTAAATAGTATTTGTTATGACTATGTAAATATTGTTTCCTGCAGAATCAAGTAGTGTGCTAGGATTATAAATCATACTTCATGGATCTAATGTCACAACCTCTTGTCTGTTTGAAGGGAGAAATTTTCTAAGCTCATAGTAAAGTGAAATCTTGCATTCCATCATCAGTGCTTAAAGTCAGCCCCTGTTTTTGTTTGTATCTTATTTGGACAGTGCCTTTTTTGTATTTTTTTTTTTTTTTTTTGAGACAGAGTCTCACTCTGTTGCCCTGGCTAGAGTGAGTGCCGTGGCATCAGCCTAGCTCACAGCAATCTCAAACTCCTGGGCTCAAGCGATCCTACTGCCTCCAGAGTCGCTGGTACTACAGGCATGTGCCATCATGTCCGGCTAATTTTTTTCTATATATTTTTAGTTGTCCAGATCATTTCTTTCTATTTTTCTAGTAGAGACAGGGTCTCGTTCTTGCTCAGGCTGGTCTCAAACTCCTGAGCTCAAACAATCCACCCACCTCGGCCTCCCAGAGTGCTAGGATTATAGGCGTGAGCCACCACGCCCGGCCTTTTGTATTTTTTTTTTATTATTATCCTAGAGTTTTTAACTGCCTTCCCCTACCTCATTGACAAAAGGATAATATTCCCTTATCATATCTTCAGATTTTTCTATCTTTTGAAACATACTTGCCTGGAAATTTTCTCCTCTAAACCCTAGGACCTCCCTCTATCCTCCTGTTCCAATCTGAATGAATGTCTGTTCTTATCCTGGGACTGACTTTCACCCCATCTCTAGGATTGAATCTGCTATTTTGTGTAGGCTATATATTTTTCTTTCTCACTCATTTTAGGGGGAATATTCTCAAGTATTTTCCTAAAAAAGGGTGCAAAAGGGGGGTAATTTATTCATATCTAAATATAAATTTAGTCGCTCTCACTTTATTCATCCTTTGGATGTAGAAATCTAACCCAAAGTCACTTTTCTTCATATCTTTGATGATACTACTTCATTGTCTTCAGGCCTACAGCATTGATGAAAAATTTGATCCTTGTCTAATTATCTTTTCTTTTTAGGTGACCGGGTTTTTTTCCTCTGAAATATTTGAAACTTTTTCTTTGGTATTTTGAAACTCAAATAGAATGTGCTTAAATATAGGTCTTTTAATGGCCTTGGTAGTTTTTGGATCCTGACAATCTGGAGACTCATATACTACCTTAGTTTGCGGAAATTTTCTTCCATTAATTTCTTCCATAATTTCCTCTCTCTTGTTATCTTTATTTTCTCTTTCTGGAACCCCTCTGTCTTAGTCCCTTTGTGTTGCTATAAAGGAATATGTGAAGCTGGGCTTGTTTGGTTTTTTGAGAGGTCTCACTCTTGTGGCCCAGGCATGAGGGCAGTGGCATCATCATAGGTCACTCTAACCTCAAATCCCTAGGCGTAAGCACTCCTCCCACCCCAGCCTCCCAAGTAGCTAGAACTACAAGCACGTACCACCACACGTAGGTAATTTTTCTATTTTTTGTAGAGATGGGGGTCTTGTTATGTAGCTCAGGCTGGTCTCAATTCCTGGCCTCAAGTGATCATCACGCCTCGATTTCCCAAAGTGCTGGGATTGCAGGCATGATTATCTGGCCTTGGCTGGATAATCTATAAAGAAAAGAGGTTTATTTGGCTCACAGTTCTGTAGGCTGTACAAGAAGCATGGCACCGGCATCTGCTTCTGGTAAGGACCTTAGGAAGCTTCCAATCATGTTGGAAGGTGGAGGTGGAGCAGGCATGTCACATGACAAGGGGCTGGGGGAGGTGCAGGCTCTTTTTAACAGTCAAATCTTGAGAGAACTAATAGAGTGAGAACTCATTACCACAAGGGTGGCACCAAGGCCATGTTTGTGAGGGACCTGCCCCCATGACCCAAACACCTCCACTTCCAATGTTGGGCATCAAATTTCAGCATGAGATTTGGAGGGTACAAATATCAAAACTATATCACCCTCTTAACAGGATTTTGGATTTCTTGGATTATATCTCTGTCTCTTTTTTCCTTTCTTGATCTTTTTGCTTTATGTTCTGGGAAATATCCTTAACTTTTTCATCAGCCGCTCTTTATTTAATTTCAGCAACCATATTTTTAGTCTCTAGCTTTTTCTTGTTCTGAGTAAACTTTTATCTTAGCATCCTCTTTATATTGATAAATGTAATAATCTCATATCTCTAGGTATATGAATGAGAGAGTTTGTTTTTAAAGTTCTTTTGCTTGAGTTATATGTTTCTTCTGGGGCCAGTTTCTCTCTTTGGTCTTTCATTCTCCTAATTTTCCTCATGTTGGATGATTCTTGGGTTGTCCACTTATATTTCAGAATGAATAACTGATGTATGTGTATGTGCGTTTTAATTGAGTGAATAGATCTATTTCCAATATACCTGTTTGAGTAGGGAGTTTGACTACTAAATTGGTTATGGGTGGGGCTGCTTTGTTTTAAAGCAGAGATTGCCAAGCTTTCTTGATTACAGTGCCCTTAGTGTCTTAGTAAATTTTTTCTTGGTACCCCTAGCCCAAAAGAAATACCTCAGAGTGAGAGCCAAACAACTTAGTAGTAGATTGAATGATATTTGAAAGATGTTGCTGTGTTTACTTCAAATTTAAAATATTAAACATGCCTCTCAGAGTTTGCTGTGGTGCTCCAGGTGCTTTGGCACACAGTTGGGAAACCATGACTTAGGATAAATGAGTTAGGACTTAACAGGCTACACAGATTACTCAAATGCCAGAATGAGTTTTGTTTTGTCTGGGGCAGCAGCACTTACACTAAAGCCTTAGATCTACCTGGTGGGTTTGTTCTATTTCTTTCTAGAAAAGCCTTGTAATCTTTTTGCCTGGATATCTAAACTCTGGTTATCTATACTCTGTGTTCATCGAGAGTGACAGAAGCCATTAAGGGAACAAGTTTCCCCATTTTCTGCCCCGCTTCTCACTTCTGCCTTTTGTTTCCCTGAGACCTCATCCTTCCTCTCCCCCCCACCCTCCTTCCCCTTTTTAATTCTCGGCTGATTCT